GAGGTTGGCCCAGGATCGAACATTGTTTCGTTCTGCTGTGCATGGGGTCGCTATGAGTCGGTTCCGACTCCATGGCACCTGACAACAACAACAATTGTTATTTTGGAGTCCTGGTGTGGTGCTGTGGGTTAATGTGCTGGACTGCAAGGTCAGTTTGAACCACAGGATCAGCAGTTCAAGCTCACCAGCTGCTCCTCAGAAGCACTTTACAGGGTTGCCATTGATTTGATGGAACTTAACAACAACAAGTTGTTAAGTGCAGCCAAAGTGCTCCTTGGAGGCCAGGATGGCCAAACTTTGTCTCTCAGACTTCAGACATCTTTCTTGTCAGAACAGATTAGTCTCTAGAGAAGGATATCATGTTTGGTAACGTGGATGGTCAGAAAAACCCAGCGAGATGGATTGGCCAAGTGGCAGCATCTTGAAATGCTCTTTTTGATAATGAATGGGATTCCATTCTTCTTCCGTTTGTCATTCACCATAGTAAGCCACATGATTGTCAGATTTCAAATGGCAATCCCAGTCCATTTCAGCTCATTTCAGCCTAGGATATTGATCTTTATGTTTCATTTAATTTCTGATAACTTCCAATTTTCTTAGATTCATACTTTCCATGTTCCAATTATTTATGGATGTGTGCAGCTCTTTGTTACCATTTGAGTTGGGACCCATCAGTAAATGAAGATCTATAAAACTTTGTTGCATTCATATCATTATGGTCAACTCTACTTTAAGGAGGCAGCTTTTCCCTAGACATATTTTTGTGTATTTCAACCTGAGTGCCATATCTTTCGGCGCTATATCTGACATGTTCCACTGCTATTCATAAGGTTTTCAGTGGCTAACCATTCAAAGTAGTCTGCCTTTCCTTCTTCCTAGTCTGTTTTAGTCTGGACCTTAGCTGAAATCTATCATCATGGGTAATCCTGCTGCTATTTAGCTTCCAGCATCAGAGCAACATGCAAGGCACCACAGTAGAACAAACTGACCAACTAATGATGGGAAAAATTAGCTAGACACCCTTTAACACATCTAATGTGACCAATATTATGAATGCAATGTCATGTTTCTGAGGAATAAATAGGACATTGGAAAAATAATACCAGGTTAGTAGATGCAGAAAAATTGAGAGCATATATGTCTGTTCCATATTTGTTTGACATAGAAATGAACATAAAAAAGACTTAATTATGAAATTATCATATTTTTAGAAAATCTGTTTCATATCTTATATCCTTTATAGTTATATTAATTTATATTGCATCCAAATGTAAATGGGTTTAAGGCAGTGTGCTTATAATTGGGTATCTAATATAAATATAACTCTGTTATTCTTGTTAGGTGCCATTGAGTCAGTACCGACTCATAGCAACCCTATGCACAACAGAACGAAACAATGCCTGGTCCTGGCCAACCTCACAATTGTTGCCACACTTGGGCCCATTGACGCTGCCACTTTGCCAATCTTGCTGGGGGTCTTCCTCTTTTTCTCTGAACTGTTCTAGCTTCAAGGGAACACTTGGGCTGCACTTCTTCTGTTGGTTCTATTGGCAGCCCATAGCATTTTCAATAGTCTCCTCCAACACCATAACTCAAATGCATCAATTCTTCTATGGTTTTCCTTATTCATTGTCCAGCTTTCACATGAATATGAGGTTATTGAAAATACCATGGCTTGGGTCAGGTGCACCTTAGACTTCAAGCTGACATCTTTGCTTCTCAACATTTTAAAAAGCTCTTGTGCAGCAGATTTGCCTAATGCAATACATTGTTTGATTTCTTGACTGCTTCTTCCATGAGTGTTGATGGTTGATCCAAGAGGAAAGAAGTCCATGACAACTTCAATCATGTCTCCGTTGATAAGAATATTGTTTATTGGTCCAGTGATGAGGATTTTTGTTTTCATTACGCTGAGATGCAATCCATACTGAAGGCTGTGGTCTTGGATCTTCATCAGTACATACTTTAAGTCCTCTTCACTTTCAGCAAGCAAGGTTGTTTCATCTGCATATCACAGGTTGTTAATGAGTCTTCCTCCAATTCTGATGCTATGTTTTTCTTCATAGAACTCAGCTTCTCAGATTATTTTCTCAGCATACAGGTTGAATAAGTATGGTGAAAGAATACAACCCTGTCACACAACTTTCTTAATTTAAACCATTCAGTGTTCCCATGTTCTGTTCGAACAACTGCCTCTTGGTCCAGGTACAGATTCCTCATGAGCACAAGTGTTCTGGAATACTCATACTTTGCAATGCTGTCCATAGCTTGTCATGATCCATACAATCAAAAGCCTTTGTGTAGTCAATAAAGCATAGGTAAACATCTTTCTGATATTCTCTGCTTTCAGTCAAGATCCATTGGACAAATCAGCAATGATATCCCTCATTGCATGTCGTCTTCTGAACATGGCTTGAACCTCTCGAAGTTTTCTTTCAATGTATGCTTGCAGCCATTTCTGTATTAACTTTAGCAAAACTTTACTCGCATGGGTTGTCAAAGATATTGTCTGATGATTTCCACATTCCATTGGATCAACTCTCTTTGGAATAGGCACAAATATGGATCTCTTCCAATCAGTTGTCCAGAAAGTCGTCTTCCAAATTTCTTGGCATAGATGAGTGAGTGCCTCCTGTGCCACCTCACTTTCTTGAAAGATTTTAATTTTTATTCCATCAATTCTTGGTGCCTTGTTCTTTGCCAATTCCTTCAATGCACCTTGGACTTCTTCCTTTAGTATCATTGACTCTTGATCATATGCTACCTATTGAAATGTTTGAACATCAACCATTTCTTTTTGGTACAGTGACTCTGTGTATTCCTTCCATCTTCTCTTGATGCTTTGTGTATCATTCAATAATATTCCCAGAGAATCCTTCAATAATGAAAGTCAAGGCTTGAATTTCTTCTTCAGTTACCTCAGCTTGAGAAATGCTGAGTCTGTTGTTCCCTTTTGGTTTTCTGACTCCAGATCACTGCACATTTTGTTGTAATATTTGACTTTGTCTTCTTGAGCTGACCTTTGAAATTTTCTTTTCAGCTCTTGGACCTCTTCATTTCTCCCATTTGCTTTAACATCTCTATGCTGGAGAGCAAGTTTCAGAGTCTCTCTAACATCCATTTTGATCTTTTCTTACTTTCTTGTCTTCTTAAGGACTTTTTGCTTTCTTCCTGTATGATGTTTTTGTTGTCATCTCACAAGTTTTCTGGTCTTTTGTCTTTAGTGTTTAATGTATCAAATCTGTTCTTCAGATGATTTCTAAATTCAGGTGGGATATATTCAAGGTCATATTTTGGCACTCATGGACTTGTTTTCATTTTCATTTTCTTCAGCTTCAGCCTGAATTTGCATATGAGTAATTGATGGTCTGTTCCATCAATGTAGCTTAGGGCAATTTTATGTCTTTAAAGATTCTGATACCTTCCTCTTATTAAGTACTGAGAAGAATATACCATCATTTCTGTATATTCATCATCTAAATTTTATTAGGAGGAAATGCTGATAAACACAAAGTAAAGGGATATTCTACCAATTAATTTGTCAGGTCTCATTAAAAGCATCTCATTCTTAAAATATAAAGAAAAAGGGAGGGACTGCTCCAGCTTAAAGGATACAAGGAAGTAATGACAAGTAAATACAACTTGAGATTCTAGATTAGATCTCAGACCAAAAATAGAACATTTTTTACAATTGGCAAAACTGAATAAGATGATTATATCATAGTATTGAATCAATGTAACATTTCCTAATTTTGGTAAATGGACAGTGTTGGTATAGTTGTTAAGTGCCATCAAGTTGATTCCGACTCATTGCAACCCCGTATAGGGTTCCCATGTAGCAACTCGTAGGTTTGACCCATCGACCTTATGGGTAGCAATCCAGTGCTTATCCTATAGCATTACACACCAGCACTCCAGTTGGATGTAAAATATTAACCTGTGGTAATCATCTGGGCAAAGAACACACAAAAACTCTTGTAATTATTCTCAGACCACAGTGGAGCGTGGTGGCTCTGTACAATAAGCACTGGACTGTGAACCATAAGGTTGACAGTCTGAGTCCACCAGTCATACTGCAGGAGAAAGATGAGGCTTTCTGTTCCTGCAAAGATATACAGCCTCAGAAACTCTATACAGGATTGCTATGAGTTAGAATTGACTTGGTGGCACTTCACAACAACAGCCTTTATACAGACATATATTGGAGATATTACAGATTCTGCTCTAGATCATCACAATAAAGTGAATACTACAATAAAGCAAATGATGCAATTTTTTTGTTTTGTTTTCCCATATACATAAAAATATATTTATAATATCTTATAGTCTATTACATATACAATAGCATTATGGCAATTTGAAATATATTAAGAATTACAAAAATGTGACAGTCATGCAGTGAGCACCTGATGTTGGAAAAATGGCACCAACAGATTTGCCAAGTGCAGGGTTGCCACAAATCTTCAATTTGGCAAAAAAAAAAAAAAATATAGTATCTGCAAACCGCAATAAACCAAGTTCTGCCTCTATACTATACAGGCACACTGTGGCACAGTAGTTAAGACCTTGGCTGCAAACTGAAAGATCCACAATTCAAAACGACTAGCTTGCTCTACAAGAAATCTTTGCTTCTGGAAAGATTACAACCTTGGAAACCCCAGGAAGCAGTTCTACTCTGTCCTATAGCTCCTATAGCGTCTAGAAGACAATGGGTTAATACACTGTACACTACTGTGAATGAAGGCGTTAAGAAATCAGTAATGTATTTTATTAAGAATTTTTTGAAAAAAACAAAACTAAATGAAGCACTCAGTCATTTCCAAAACATTAATATACTAACAATATTTGTATGTTGTATTTGGTACTTACTTCATTAAATGTAAAATCTTCTAGATCTATTTCTTCATATTCTTCAGATTCTTCACTCTTAACAGCTTCTAGAGCTGTTGTCAGTTTTTTTCGCAAAAGAAAGCCCTTCCAAACTGCCTAAACAAATATTTAAAGCATGTTATACAAGGTTATAGATCAAACCCTAAACCAGATTCTCTGTGTTATCCCATTAGGAAGATAAAACATCTGAGACCTTAGTTTAATGGCTCAATAATCTGTTATTTGAACTTTATGTGACACTTAGAACTATAAGATAAATTAAATGGCTGCATGTGTCTAGAGTTCTGAATCTCAGGAGACTTTCCTCCTGGCAGAAAAGAATCTTTAAAACTCCCTCAACTGAACAAGTAGGTCAACCAATTAATTATCTGACAATTCCTCCAGGACCCATTACAAACTAAGACGAAAGAGATACAAAGGAAAACCCAGTTTTCTAATTTTAAAATTATTATATGTAAAATAAACTAAAGCTCATTTAGGAAAGCTTCAACGTGTATGAACAGCAACATTCGTGACAGTATCCTGGTCCTTAACAATTAGCTAATCTTATTTTTAAATAAACTAAGCACAGAACAACAGAATTGAAAACAGATTCCTCAATAGCCTTGCAGTGAGGAAGCTTTCATAATTATAAGTGTAAGTACAATGTAGCTTTAAACAGTTGAGTATCCTTTAAATAATGCTAAAATGTGATCTCCAGGATATATTTTTATGTATATAAGCAAGGTTGAAATGAGTATGTATTACATGCTACCATTAATATCTTAAAGTTGTCATATAAATATATATTTTGAAATTTTACGTATACATATTTAAACATATATATGTACTTGGTTATTTTAAAATGGCATTACATAGCATAAAAGTAATGTTAAATTGCTACATATGGAGGCAGAAAACAGGGTAAATAGTACAGCAATATAAGCCAAACTTCTTAAATATATCTTTATATATGGTTTGATTTGATTTGATTTTGGAACCATGCACATTCTTATGATAATTGTAAAATGAAGTTAAAAAATATAAAATAAAAAATTTCTAGAAATAAAGAAAATGTATTTCAAGTTGTAAGTATAAACACATAGCCATTCAGATTCAAGAGCAAAATCTGTTGCTCACAATGAATTAGGAGTCCTGGTATGGCACAGTGGGCTAATGCATAAGACTGCAAAGTCGTCGAACTGCAAGGTCGGTGGTTCAAGCTTACCAGCTGCTCCTTGAAAACCCTATACAGGGTCACTATGGGTCAGAATTGACTCTATGGCACTTAACAGGTATAACACTCATGGAAGCAGCAATCAAAAAAATAAAATGACCTACCTATTGCTTTAGGCAAATCTGCTATTAAAGATCTCTTTTTAAAGTGTTAAAGAGCAAAGATACCAGTTTGAGGACTAAAGTGGGTTTGACCCAAGCCATGGCATTTTCAATAGCCTCATATGCATGCGAAAGTTGGAAGGAAATAAGGAAAACTGCAGAACTGACACATTTGAGCTGTGGTGTTGGAGAAGAATATTAAAAGTATCATGGATTGTCAGAACAACAAACAAATCCATGTTGGAACTTCTTCCATAATGCTCCTTAGAAGCCAGTGTAGCCAGACTTCGTCGCTCTTATTTTGGACGTATTATCAGGAGAGAACAGTCACTGGAGAAGGACGTCATGTTAGATTAAGTGGAGAGTCAGTGAAAAAGGGAGGCCCCCAATGAGATGGATTGTCCCAATGGTAGCAGCAATGGGCACAAGTGTTAACAATGATTGTGAAGATGGCATGGACCTGGCTGTGTCTTGTTCTGTTGTGCATAGGGTACCTCACAACAACAACAACATGTAAGCCATTGTTTTTGAGAATAACCCAGTGAAAGATGAGTAATACACAGTTACCAAAAGACTGAGACCAACCTGAATACGAGTAGCAGCCTTCTCCTTCTGTTCTTCAGTATTCATACTATGTTTTGTTTTTTCTGCCTTTAAAACAGTCTGGCTCTTGATGTGGGAATTTGGCTGGGATGTCAGTGGTCCTTTTGCAGCAGTATGCAGCCTGGTAGATAAATGGATCTGTTTGCGCACAATGTAACCACGCCAACGTGATTGGATTATCAACGCTGCCGTGCTATTAACAGGAGAGAAAAAAAAAATGCTTGTGGTATCCTTATAAACCATATGTAAAAGCATGAGCCACATAAACTATACTTAAAAATAAGACAAATTCTTTCATTTAACTGTAGTGATAAGAAAACAGTTATCCTGGAAACTTTCATACCTGACGGTGACAAATGGGCTAGTATCTGAAAAGGGATATGGATACAATGAAGTTTTATTTTTTTTGTCTTAAGAGGGTGATATCACAGAGTATTTGTATGATAGTGAAGATGCTGATCCAATAGACTAAATTAGCAAGAAAGGAAAAGACCTTCTATACATGGAGAGATTAATATTAATTCTGTACGTTAGAGAGAAAGGAAGTGTTGTCACTATAAGAGGGAGGCCCTAGTCCTTCTAACTTCATTTCCCTCCCTGTCCTTAGACAAATATTTAAATCACCCTCTAAATTCAATAAAAGTACTATATCAGTAGAGTCCCTGGGTGGGACACATGATTAAACATTGGACTACTAACTCAAAGTTTGGCAACTCAAACCCTCAAAAGTGTGGTGTAACAATGTGTTTTCTAAACATTACAACCTTGAAAACACAGTTCTACTCTGCACACATGTAAGCTCTGAGTCAGAATCAACAGCAACTAACATTTATCAATGCAGAAAGTTTTCTTGCTCAGATCCCTCCACACTGTCCAACAAAAGCAGTAAAATCTGTATGATATACACACTCTAGCTGAGTTCTTTTAATCACTTGGTTCTTCCTAATTGGATATATTTTGCTTTTCCCTTTTGCAGGAGTAGAATCAAGGTAGGATCCCTGGCAGCACAACAGATAAGCACTTGGTTGCTAACTAAAAGGTTGTTGATTCAAACCTACCAAACAGCTTCTTGGAAGAAAGATCTGTTGATATGCTCACGTAAAGATTCCAAACCAAACAAACATATTGCAATCAACATGATTTCAGCTCCTAGCAACCATATAGGGCAAAAGTAGACCTGTAACTCTTCATGGGAGCAGACAGCCTCAGCTTTCTTCCACAGAGTGCCTAGTGGGTTTCAACCACTGACATTACAGGAGGCAAGGCAATGCTTAACCTTATAAAGATTGTTGTTGTTAAGTGCTGTCCAGTCGATCTGAATCACAGCGAACTTATACAGGGTTTCTGAGAAGCAGTTAATGGGTTTAAACAGCCGACCTTGCAGCCAGCAGTTCAATTTTCATACAACAGTGCCACACCAGCCTAGAAGATCCTATGGCACAATTCTTCTCTATCACATGAAGTTGTTATTTGTCAGAATCAACTTGATGGTACCTTACATCAACAATAAAAATAATCAAGGGCAACAACAATAAAAATACAGTCAAAATGCAAATTAGTGTCATAATTCCTTTCAAGTTTCTATGTAAGGAATTTACAAGGTTCTGGTTGTGTAGTGGTTACAAGTTGGGCTGCTAATCTCACAGTCAGCAGTCCGAAACTACCAGCAGTTCCACGGGAGAAAGATGAGGCTTTCTGCTCCTATAAAGATTGACAGCCTGGGAAACCCTATACAGGGTCACTATGAGTTGGAACTGACTCTGGCACATATCCACGACCACAACCACAGATAATAAGTGATAATTCATTGATATAATCAACTTTTTCACTACTCCCTAAATTTTCCAATAATTTAATAGTTACAAAGTCCAATAACTTTTTCCCTGTCTTAACAGAATTTAAGGCAAAGTAAACTTAAGTGATCAATTCTTTTCAGATACGACTACCTGATCTGGTGTGGCACTGTGGGTTAATGCACTGGACTGCAAGGTCAATTTGAGCCACAAGGTCGACGGTTCAAGATTAGCAGCTGCTCTTCAGAAACCTTATAAAGGATAGCTGTAGGTGAGAACTGACTCCATGTCACTTAACAACAACAGAAATCTAGTAATATATTTGGGAATATTAGAAAAGAATGATTTTTTGTTTTTATTTGGCTTCATTACTGTTTTTAATATTGTCATCATCATCATTTTACATAATGCAAGTAGAAAGAAGTCTTTAATCTATTTTCCTATGAATAGAAGATTGATGTTAATAGCTATATCTTCTCTCTAAGAAGAAAACTTGTACCTCTAATACGTGAGAAATATTTCTCTTCCAACAAATCATTTTCACCTCCTAGGGTAAACAGATTTTGTGAATTTAACTGTGGATTTTATTAATGTGCCACCATTTAATAAACATCCATTCCTCCTTTCATCTATTGACCAAAATGCATTAAGAAATTTTAAAGCATTATGATAGGTACTTTGGCTGATAAAGAAAACAATTAGGAAACATGTTTGCAATATATAACTACTACTAAGGAAAGGCCAGGAAGGAAACACATCTGTTTTCTCTACAGACACAAGTCTCACTGACTTTAACTGTGAATTCCGTTTACAGCTTCCTAGTCATTGAATTCCTCACCCCGCTCCAAAATTCACAATGAATAAAAGAAAGATAGAAAGGAAACACAAAAAAGACAAAATGCAGATGACAAATACACAGGCTGTTTTGCTTATAGAGGGAAACAGGCAAAGAAGCTGACTTTAGGACTTCCTGAACTTAGGATGCTCTCCATATTGACAAAGACAACATTCATTATATTTTTTTAGGCAAAAATTCCAATGTTTAAATGTCCTAAGCATTACAGACAAATGTCAATCATGCTTAGGAAACTCTTTTTGTTTTGTTTTGTTTCAATGATTTTATTGTGAATTGAGTGAAAGTTTTTTAAAACTTTACAAATGTAAAGTTTTACATTTAACAAATCATACACCTTGTTTCATTACAATGATTTTAATCCCCTCCATGTACCATCAGTTAACAGTATTTCTCTCTATTCATTTTAGCTCTTAAAAAAAAAAAAAAATACTCGGGCATATATAATAATTTATACCACCAAAAGGCACATTCTGCAAGTCTGCCTCCTGGCAGCCAGCCCTTAGTCCCTCTCTTTCCATGAATCTAGAGTTCTCAGCTGCTCCTCTCTCCATGTCCCCATCTCTGCCTCCATCTCTGCCGTTACTGATTCTCTGGATAAGGTCCCGCATTCTGCTTGTGCTCTTCTCCCTTGATGGTCCTAGGGTCCTCTGTTTCTGGACTGTAAGATTAACTACTCCTCATTTTTGATAACCAAACTTCTACCTTTACAATCATGACAGTTGCAATTTGTCTTGATAACAATTATTCACCATTGAATCATAAGAATCATATCCCCATCTCTTTTCACCAGACCCATCAAGACAAGATGAAAACTATTCAGTGGACATTCTATCTTCCCCCACACACTATTAAACTAAAATCCCTCTTGAAACCTTGTAAGCCAGTCACTTCGTGGCTTTACCATCCCCTCATTTTAGGTATCCAATGTCTAAGTTGCCTGTCCCTATCTACCCTGTTTACAGAGGGGATAGCGTTGATACTTGATGTGAAGATTCCTTCCCTCTCTGCTGGTATTTAGAGCAACTATCTCTATGAGTATAGGTCAAGTTCATCAAATTGTAGCAATTTACCCTCGTTTCCTTTATCAAAAACTGTTTTGTTTTGTTATCTTCCTCTAGTCAATTTCTGATCATCAAGCCATTCAGGCTAGGTCAAATGGGTACTATCTGCAAGTCTGGGTGTTCTTGTACGTCTAATAATCTCTGATACAGTGGAAAGGGAATCTTTCTGAATCACTGAATAGCAGGAATCAAAAAGTGGGTGTAACTTTGATTATGCCTTTAATTTCTAGGTCTTTGGCTCAGTTACATTTTGAGTTCTTCATTGTTACTTATTAACACCATTTGGGTATTTTATTGATAATACATTAAGAGGTTCACTGACCCTTGAAAACCCTATGCAGGGTGGCTATGAGTCAGAAATCGACTTGATGGCACTTAGCAACAATAAATGTGCTACGTTAATTTTTGCCAGGCAATGTCTGAAGTGCTTAGAACAAAGGCAATCAATGAAATACATTGATATAATATAATTTATTGTTGTTGTAAGGTGTCATTGACTCAGTTCCGACCTCTTGCAACACTGTGTACAGCAGAACCAAACAATGCCGGTCCTGTGCCATCCTCACAATCACTGCTGTGCTGGAGCACAATGCTACTGCCACTGAGCTAATCCATATCATTGGGGGTCCCCCTCTTTATTGTTGACGCTTCACTTTACCAAGCATGAAGTCCTTCAGTAACTGTTTCCTTCTGACAATATGCCTGAAGTATTAGTGATGAAGTCTGGCCATGCTGGCTTCTAAGAAGCATTCCCATTGTACTTTTTCCAACATAGATATGTTTGCTGTTCTGGCAGTCAATGGTACTTTTAATATTCTTTTCCATCACCATAACTCAAATGCATCAATTCTTCTATGTCTTCCTTATTCATTGCCCAACTTTCAGGTGCATATAAGGTTATTAAAAATACCATGGCTGGGGCCAGGTCCACTATAATCCTCAGACTGACATCTTAGCTCTTCAACACTTTATAAAGAGATCTTGTGCAGCAGATTTGTCAAATGTCATATGTTGTTTGATTTCTTGATTGCTGCTTTCATGAGTGTTAATGGTGTATCTAAACAAAATGAAATCTTTGACTTTAATCTTTTCTCCATGATGCTATTTATTAGACCAGTCGTGAAGATTTTTGGCCAGGTAGCTGTTTTCCAACTTTCTTGGCATAGAGCGGGTGAGTGCCTCTAATGTGCATCAGTTTGTTGAATGATTTCAATTTGTATTCCATCAATTCTTGGAGCCTTGCTCTTTGTCAATGCCTTCAATATACCTTGGACTTCTTCCTTCCGTAGCACTGGCTCTTAGTCATATATTACTTCTTTATATGGTTAAACATCTTTTTTTTTTTTTTTGGTACATTGACTCTGTGTATTCCTTTCATCTTCTTTTGATGCTTGCTGCATCATTCAATATTTTGTCCAAAGAATCCTTCAGTATCTCAAGTTAAGGCTTGAATTTTCCTCAGTTCTTTCAGCTTGAACAATGCAGAGAATGTTCTTCCATTTTGGCTTACTAACTCCAGATCTTTGCATATTTTATTGCAATATTTGTCTTTGTCTTCTCGAGCACTGCTTTGAAATTTTCTGTTCGGCTCTTTTACCTCCCCATTTCTTTCATTTGCTTTATCATCTCTGAGGATGGCCAAACTTTGTCTCTCATACTTCAGACATATATATCATCAAGAGAGACCAGTCACTGGAGAAGGATATCATGATTGGTAAAGTGTCAGGTTGGAGAAAAAGAGAAAGGCCCCAACAAGATGGATTGGCACAGTGGTGAAAGTGATGGGCTCAGGCTTAACAACAATTGTGAGGTTGACCCAGGACAGGGCATTGAATCATTCTGTTGTGCATAGGGTTGCTACAAGTAGGTTCTGACTCGATGGCACCTAACAACAATGCTGGAGAGCAAGTTTCAGAGTCTCTTCTGACATTCATTTTGGAGCCTTTTTTCTTTATCTTCTTAATGACCTTTTGCTTTCTTCCTGTATGATGTTCTTGATGTCATCCCACAACTCTTCTTGTCTCCAGTCATTAGTGTCTAATGTATCAAATCTGTTCTTGAGATGATCTCTAAATGAAAGTGGGATATGTTCAAAGTCACATTTTGGCTCCCATGGACTAGTTTAATTTTCTTCAGCTTTGGTCTTATCTTGCATATGAGCAATTGATGCTGTATTCTACAGTCTGCCCCAGCCTCGTTTTGACTGGAAATAATGGAGTTTCTCCACAGTATCTTTCCACCCATGTAGTCTACTTGTTTTCTGTGTATTCCATCTGTTTAAGTTCTTGTGTTGTTTTTAAAAGGAATTTGCGATGAAGAAGTCACTGCTCTTTTAATATTCTATCATGAGATCTCCAGTGTCATTTCTATCATCAATGACACATTTTCCAACTACTGATCCTTCATCTTCATTTCCAACCTTTATTTTCCAATCATCAGTAATTATCAATACATCTTGATTGCATGTTTGATCAATTTCAGACTTAATAAGCTTATAGAATTCTTCAGTGTCATCAGACCAATCAACTCACTATGCCAGATCAAAAGGGCAGCATTTGGCCAGAAAGAAATCTCAGGAGGCAGGGGATAATAGATAAGGAGGATCAATGTAAACTAGAAACAGGAGAAAGTGGGAAGAGTGCTATTATATTATGGGGGAAAATCTTCTAAAAAATAAACATAAATAAAAAATAAAAACATAAGTAAAAATAAAAAATAAACCTAATTATTTAGAAAAAGAAATCCTATACCATCCAAACTATTACAACTTTTCAGGAAGTTTAAAGAATTATTTTTGGAAGAATCTAGTCTTTTATTTGTCTTTTAAAAACATAATTTAGACATTAAAAGTTGGAAATAAATAATTTCATATTTCTTCATTTAAGATCAGCTGCTCCTAAGAAATTATACACAGGGTCACTATAAGTTGGAACTGAATCAATGGCACTTAACAACACAGCAACAGTAATACATCAGAACCTGTCAGCATTCAATCAATTTAATCTGTACTGTCATTAATAATTTGTGTACATTATCAAAAATATAATTAAGGAGATATGAAAAAGAATAGTTATTTAAATTTTTATTAACTTATTATTTAGCAACATTGACGAGGATCAGCAATAAAAGACCAAACACACAACTATAATAGAAATATAGCTTATAAATCTTACCTTTTTTCATTATGCTGAATATCTAGGCAGTTCTTCAGCAAAGAAGTAGTCATTACATTTTTTGTGAATGGGATTCTTTTAGTGAGGATTTTGTTTGCCTGAGTGTCTTCTCTTTTTTCATTTATTATTTGTTCTTGTTCTTGATTCCTTATTTCCACATTGATGCACATGGAGGAATTAGCTAATGGGGAATCATTGGAACCAAAGTTGATCCATTTCTCAGAAATATCTGATGGATCTGGTTTATGTTCGCTTGCACATGAGTTGAGAACCGTATTTTGCAGTAAGTTGTCAGTTTGTGTATAGACCAAATGATTTTCCTTGGCTTCTGATTTATCTTTGCCCATGATATTTATAATCATATTTTCATGTGCATATCGGTATTCATTACTAAGTGACATCAATTTCTTAAAATAATGAAAGAGATTTTCTGCACCATCCATGGAGAACACATTCCTGAACAAATAAATAAGAATATTTAAAAGCAAGATCTATATAGTAATTATTAAGATGTATCAGTTATGAAAATTTCCCTAGGTGTCCTGAAATAAACATTAAATTTTACTACAATTACAAACTCATTATAAACTTACTTCTGGTAGTTTGTATAAAAATTGATCACATTAAAAAAAAAA